CATTTTAACTTAAAATTATTTTTCAAATTTCACGAATAAAATCTAATCGCGTTTATTTTACTCTCGCAACATCTAATCGCCTCGTAAAACGCAAAAAAAAAAAAATCAACTACCTTGGAATTCAACGAAAATTGACTAGATAGCTAAATTTTGTAAGACGAATCCAATGGTGAGATCCATTTTGTCATTCAAGGTTTAGAAAAATTCAAATTTTAACCCGTGCAGTAACGACTAATTACTATTTTGTCATTTTTCATAAAATTTTAATTTTTTTAGGTTTTATAAGATGTCATCTACTTTCCTATCTAGTGACGGTAGTCATGGTGGTTGTGGTGGTGGTTAACTTCTAGCCTCACATTGGCAACCATAATGGTAGAGGTATTGGTCATAGTGGTCATGGCGATTGTTCGGAGTGGAAATGTTCTTATTGTAGAGCTACTAGCCATATTGAAGATTAATGTTGGAATAAACATGAAAAATTAGCCTTTGCTAATTAGGTTTCTGATGATTTGACTCCTCTTGTATCTCAGCCATCGAACCAGCTACATTCACATCAGGTTCTCATAATCTATCTTTTGATTGCTCTACATGTAAATTAGGAAAGAGTAAAACTCTTCCTTTTCCTTCTCATAGTAGTCATACGGAAAAGTGCTTTGATATTATACACAGTGACTTATGGGGCATTCCACCAGTAATTTCTCATGCTCAGTACAAGTATTTTGTAACGTTCATTGATGATTACAATCAGTATACTTGGACCTATTTTCTTCGGTCCAAGTCTGAGGTTTTTTTGGTTTTCAAGACCTGTGTGGCATATGTTGAGACTCAATTTTCAACAGGTATTAAAGTTTTGAGGTCTGGTGGGGAATATATGTCCCATGGATTTCATGATTTCCTACACCATAAAGGAATTGTCTCCCAATACTCCTGCCCTTATACACCACTGCAAAACAGCGTGGCAGAATTAAAGAATCGCCATCTTTTGATGTTGTTCGTNTTTGACTCCTCTTGTATCTCAGCCATCGAACCAGCTACATTCACATCAGGTTCTCATAATCTATCTTTTGATTGCTCTACATGTAAATTAGGAAAGAGTAAAACTCTTCCTTTTCCTTCTCATAGTAGTCATACGGAAAAGTGCTTTGATATTATACACAGTGACTTATGGGGCATTCCACCAGTAATTTCTCATGCTCAGTACAAGTATTTTGTAACGTTCATTGATGATTACAATCAGTATACTTGGACCTATTTTCTTCGGTCCAAGTCTGAGGTTTTTTTGGTTTTCAAGACCTGTGTGGCATATGTTGAGACTCAATTTTCAACAAGTATTAAAGTTTTGAGGTCTGGTGGGGAATATATGTCCCATGGATTTCATGATTTCCTACACCATAAAGGAATTGTCTCCCAATGCTCCTGCCCTTATACACCACTGCAAAACAGCGTGGCAAAATTAAAGAATCGCCATCTTTTGATGTTGTTCGCACCATATTGCTTGAGTCCGCTGTTCCTTCTAAATTCTGGGTTGAGGCTTTGTCTACTGCAGTTTATCTAATTAATAGACTATAGTCTCATGTCTTGAAATTTAATTTTCCATATTATCATCTTTACCGTCAGCATCCTAGCAACCTTAATATGCATACTTTTGGCTGTGTTTGTTTTATTCATTTACCTTCTCATGAACGTCACAAACTTTATGCTCAATCTGTTAAATATTGCTTTATTTCGCACAGTATTTCGCACAGTATTTCGCACAGGCTATGTTTGCTATGATCCATGCCTCTAACAAATTTCGTATTTCTTATTATGTTGTCTTCTTTGAGAAGCAAACTTTCTTTTTTACACATGTTGTTGCCTGAAATTAGTGTTCTTCCTTATTTTGATGACTTGCCTCTTTTTCCTGAGCAATTCAAACCTAGATTTGTGTATGAACGACATCGACTGAATTTGCTCCTTCCCGAGATTAACCTGCCATCGGTTTAGCCGATTCTTCCCAAGTCTGACTTGCCATTTGAGACTGATTTACTGATTTGATTGTTTCTTCCGAGCCTGACACGCCTCCTAAGCCTAGTCCAAGACACTCTACCAAAGTTTCTCGTCCTCTTGATAGGTATGGTTTTCATAATTCTTTTAATGCTACTTTGTCTTCAACTTCTATTCCTACATATTACTCTGAGACTATCATACATGAATGTTGGCGAAAGGCAATGGATAAGGAACTTCAGGCTCTTCAGGGGAATCATGCATGAGATATTGTTCCTTGACCTTCTATTATTCAAGCCATTGGCTACAAATGGGTTTATTCAATTAAGCTTTGCTTTGATGGGACTTTGGATCACTACAAGGCACGGTTGGTTGCACTTGGTACTAGACTGGAGTATAGAGTGGACTATGAGGAGACATTTGCTCTGATGGCAAAGATGACTACAGTGCGTACTGTTCTTTCCATTGCAGCCTCCCAGGGCTGGCCACTTCACCAGATGGACGTCAAAAATATTTTTCTTCATGGTGATCTCAAGGAGGATATTTACATGGCACCTCCACCAGGTTTGTTCTCCTCTCCTTCTTCAGACGTGTGCAAGTTGAAGCGGTCCCTCTATAGCTTGAAACAAGGTCCTCGGGCATGCTTTGAAAAGTTTCGTTCTACCTTGATTTGCTTCTCATTTGTGCAGAGCCAATATGACTCATTTTTGTTTCTTTGCAAGACCTCTACTGGTATTGTCCTCCTACTTGTTTATGGGGATGATATTGTCATTACTGAAACGGTTTTCTTATTGATTACCCGACTCCAGCAGCATCTTCAAGATTCCTTTCATATGCAGGATGTTGGTCCTCGATTCTTCGGGTATATTCATAAATCAAAACAAATATACACAAGATTTAATTAATGTGGCTGGACTTTAGGATTCTACTTCGGTGGATACTCCTATGGAAGTAAATGTGAAGTACCATTGTGAGGAGGGTGATCCTTCATGATCCTACCACGTTCCGATAATTGGTTGGTTGCTTGAACTACTTAACTATTCACGACCCGATATCTCTTTAGCAGGTTAGTTAATTTATGCAAACTCCACGTCATCTTCATTTAGCTGTTGTTCGTCGTATCATTCAGTATCTTCGAGGATCTCCAAGCCGTGGATTATTCTTTCCTGCTGTTTCTCCCCTTCGCCTTTTTGGTTTTAGTGATGCTGATTGGGCCGGGTGTCCAAATACGTTCTATCACAGGTTGGTGTATGTTTCTTGACAATTCCTTGATATCCTGGAAGAGTAAAAAGTAGGCTCGTGTTTCCAAATCCTTGACTGAGTCTAAATATCATGTNCTTCGAGGATCTCCAAGCCGTGGATTATTCTTTCCTGCTGTTTCTCCCCTTCGCCTTATTGGTTTTAGTGATGCTGATTGGGCCGGGTGTCCAAATACGTTATATCACAGGTTGGTGTATGTTTCTTGACAATTCCTTGATATCCTGGAAGAGTAAAAATTAGGCTCGTGTTTCCAAATCCTTGACTGAGTCTAAATATCATGTGATGTCTACTGCTTGCTCTGAGATTGTTTGGCTTCGTGGGCTCCTAGCTGAGCTTGGCTTCTCTCAATACGATCCCACTCCTCTACACGCCGATAACATACACTAACAACATGAGTGCCATTCAAATTGCTTCTAACCCTGTTTATCTTGAGTGTATGAAGTATATTGAAGTGGATTGTCACTCTATTCGAGAAGCCGTGAATACTTATGTCATCTCTCTTCCGCATGTTNACAACATGAGTGCCATTCAAATTGCTTCTAACCCTGTTTATCTTGAGTGTATGAAGTGGATTGTCACTCTATTCGGGAAGCCGTGAATACTTATGTCATCTCTCTTCCGCATGTCTTCACTAACCTTCAGATAGCTGATGTGCTTACCAAGGCCATGACTCGACAACGCCATTATTTTCTTGTAGGCAAATTGATGCTTCGTGATCGACCAACATCAATTTGAGAGGGGGTGTCACTCGGATATGTATGTTGCCATAGCCAGCACATATCTAGCCATATTTACTATATATATTTATGGCATATACTTTATATATTAACTGTCAATATTTGTAATTAGTAGGGAATATTGTATTCCATANGCTTCGTGATCGACCAACATCAATTTGAGAGGGGGTGTCACTCGGATATGTATGTTGTCATAGCCAGCACATATCTAGCCATATTTACTATATATATTTGTGGCATATACTTTATATATTAACTGTCAATATTTGTAATTAGTAGGGAATATTGTATTCCATATTTAGTTAAATTGGGAGTCGTAAAAATCAGTGTATTTTATGCTCTTGAGTTTCTATTTAATGGAGGAAACTCTCTCATTGAGAGTCATTCAGTATCATTGACACATTAATGTTTCCCAGCTCGAGCATGATTTCTACATTGCCATAGTCACAAATTAACAACTATAATATCATATTAGCAACAAAATTCCAATTTCTACGATATCATGTGTAGGCCCATAAGAACATTCAGAATTTGTAAACAACCAAGTATACAAATAGTTTGGTTCCTTTGAAGTTCAAGATTCACAAGAAAAGAAGCTCTTGCAGAATATGTAAAGCTAGATACAGTGTAAAAATAAGAGAAAGGCAAGCCTCCAAGTTTGAGTTAGAAGTGTACTACATGAAAATAATAATTGACATTATCCCCATACCAAAACATAAGGTATGTGTTAATTATAAGTTATAACTCTATCACATGAATTAGCAAATAAATAGCACTCACTTGTGCTTCCATCTGTAGGTGCTTACAAACAGTTCTCCAATAAAGAGTAACCTCTGGTTCCATTAGTCGAATGCATGTGGTGCATTTCCCTGATGTGCAGATGGGAAAACCATATAAAATACAGAAAGATAATCATCCCTTGTTTTCTCCACTTGTGCAGGAAAAAAGAAAAATAGGCCAAGGCCGTGGTGGTCAAGAGAAATCCTAACATGGTTCCAAATATTTAAATAAAATCAGAGATTAGCTGTACCAACCTTCTTTTTTGTCACTAGTTAAGACTAAGTATTGTCGAATACTTTGACCATCTTGCAATTCCACTTGCCCGGCTTTTAGAAGAGCCCCCATTACAGACTCCCCAACCAATTCATAGGTTTCAACATCAAGAAACTTGAGAAGTTCTATGGGATCTCCATTGCAACACTTCACAAGCCACTTATCTTTCATTAACCTGAGACACTCATTTGTCACAGCTGCAGAACGGTCGGCCAATCCCCTCTGGAGAATAATTGCCCTGAGCTTAATGCTGCCAAACCCATAATGCACGTAAACATGTTAAGCATGCAATCAGTAAAATGTGATATCTCTACAACTTAAAAGGCTAAGGCTGCACCTAAACCTATAGCCATGTTAAGCCTAGGATTGATGCATTTTGTAAGCATATGATATTTCCTGATCCATTTGGTGCACGTTTATGTTTTCTCAGCCCAGGTAAATCCAGTGTTCTACTTGAATAAGACTTTAAAATCAGACCCAACCTGGCAGTGACAATGAAATTTAACATGGAAACACATTTGCTTCCAAAGAAATAAAAAGTTACCCTTTCAGTAGGACATACAAATAATTTAGTAATTTGGATTAGTAGTAAGCTGCTATGGCTATGAACNCAATGAAATTTAACATGGAAACACATTTGCTTCCAAAGAAATAAAAAGTTACCCTTTTAGTAGGACATACAAATAATTTAGTAATTTGGATTAGTAGTAAGCTGCTATGGCTATGAAAAGAAAATTCAAAAAACAAAAAAACAGAAGGAAAAAAAAAGTAAAGAAAGAAACTGTGGTATCCGGTTAGTTGTCATGCAAGAGTTCTTCCACAGCTAAAATCTTAAAAGTTCCACCCAGTGCTCCCACAACCACAAATAGACTGAGACCATGATTTGTAGCTTTCCTTGACCATCCACAAAGCAACAACTGGAGGCACAACTGGGAGGACCTTAACACAAAATCTTTGTGGATCTGGTCATTTTGATTCATGGCTAGGGCTTGTTTAACAGTATGTTGTTGATGCATGAGGGAAGTCACGGCTTTCATATATTGATAAATTATAAGCAGCAAGGCAATCATCACTGATCACTATGCTTAATTTACTGGCAAAATTGACGGTGTCTTCAATTGTGGAAAACAGATACTAAGTTTGAGCATCAGACAAGTTCACCTGTGTCTTCTTAAGGATGAAAAAAGTAAAGAACATTCTTGCAGCCTGCTTCCTGGATACAGTGCCAAAGAAAAGCTGATTGTTTGGCAGATTACACTGCTTCTTAAACTATTTTGATCACTCCTGTTCAATCAGCTACATCTTGATGCTCCACATCCAAAGAACTCAAACATTCAAGATTCTTCATAATCCATGTGATAAGAGAGCATTAAACAGGTACTCACTGGCTTTTCCACAAGCAGATCAACAGAAGTCTGACACCAATGCAATGACACAGGATGCAAGAGGATTTTATTCTCAAGAACATTAGAGAGGTGGGGAAATCTAAACTTGGTCAAAGATATGATTGAGAGTTTCACAGTAGCAGGAACTTTCAAGACGAGTTCAAAAATTTTGGAAAGGTTTCTTGATCCTTCTGGGTTTATAGCATCACTGCAGTTGGCACAGAATTGGGGAATTTGACAAGTCAAGTGTGTGTGGACTATTACTTGGGTTCCCTTTAGTTCTGAAGATTAATATTTAGGACTATATTCAAGCATTGTCAAAAGGGATGATAAACTTCTAAAACTAGCTATCTGACAATAATTTCCCAACTAAAGGTAGATGGTTATTTTCTTGACTAAACTAATTTTCCACTACAATGTTCAGTTATAGGTTATCAGATACTGAAAGCTGTGCAAACAGTAAAATGTTATTCCAAAAGGATCAAGGAAAAGGTGATGGTTATAGAACAGCAACAGCAGTAGGACTTGAAGTTACCTGAGACTCTGAAGGGGAAATTTACTGGCTAGAACAAAATAAGCTGTNTACTGAAAGCTGTGCAAACAGTAAAATGTTATTCCAAAAGGATCAAGGAAAAGGTGACGGTTATAGAACAGCAACAGCAGTAGGACTTGAAGTTACCTGAGGCTCTGAAGGGGAAATTTACTGGCTAGAACAAAATAAGCTGTTTTCCGCACTGATTCACTCACATCAAGTGTACAATCAATAATTGCCGCCGAAGTTGCATTTGAAGGAGGCAAAGACAAAACTATTGTTTTACGAACATCCTGCACAAACACAAAAGGCAGGTATTTGATCAGTTGGTTCCCACATGCACATAAGACAAGATAGTATTAATAAAAATTAGGAAAAAGATTCATCAAGTTACACTGCTGGACTCCATTCAATGAATGACAGCTGTGTTATCTTAGCCACGTGCTTAAAGAATAAAACATAAGAAATTCTCAACGAATTATTCAGGGGTGGAAGACTCACCGCATTCTGTTCTAGAGAAAGTGTCTGCAGGAACAGCTCAAGAATGTCACTATTTTCTAAATCATTTGCAAAGCGTGAAAGAGCCCTGACTGCAAAAGTACGAATTACAGGGATCTTATCCCCTACCCGCAACGTCATGCATTCTATAACCTCATCCCAGAGTTCATTGCTTACTTCTGTCTCGTCCGGTAATCTTACTATAATCTAAGAAGTAAAAGTCACATCAGGCAAAATAATTAGTATCCATAAAATGATAGCTACTAGACCAAAAAGGTCGACAAACAAATTTTCTGGGATGAACTTATCCAAGCTTAGAAAACAAAGAGAACGGCAACGATAATGTCACTTCATGGTCTTAGTCAGTAAAATATAGCATCTATTATTCAATTTTCTTCTATTTTGTCCTTCATTTTGTTATTTACCAACCAGTAGTACCCACATTCAAGGTGACCAATCATACTCCATCTTAAAAGATTCTTAACACAGCTAAACTTCTCAAAGAAAACTATAGAAGGCAAAGGACAAAGCACCAACTCTTTATTGCTTTACCAGAGGACAATTAAACCTTTTTTATTTCTAACTTATTAATGGTTTGCAAACACAATGTGACCTAGCAAATGAAATCAAATCATATACAGTGTGAAAATTTGTTGAAGAAAATGTCATAAAACCTTCGTTTCTTATCAACATTTTTTTCTGAGTGACGACAGCCAGTAACTAATAGCAGTCAACTATACCTCAGAAACTATGAAAATCAATATCTATACCATGAATTTGAGAGTATTTCCGTTCCCTTCATATGTCCAAGGAAACAGGCAGTAACTGTTTATTCCTCGGATATTACACAAATCAAATATTTAGAACATCAATTCAAATTCTTGTTGGTTCTTCTTTTAAGTGTCTCAGCAACTAACTTTACATAAGCCATATTCCCCACAAATTATGACAGTAAATTCTAGACACAGACTAGCGATGTTCACATAGTCCATACCTCGGAAATGATTTGACATGCCCGGAACCTCGCGGTTTTATTGGCCGCCATGGCCGCCACAAGCAGAAACCGAAGAAATTCCTCCAAAAAAGCATCACAAACCGACGCATTGTTCGAATCTCGAGCACAAGTGAAAATTGCAACGAATCGGACAATCCGTTCGGCGGAGGCGTTGCGACGCTGGAAGTTGAAGAGAGGAGTGAGGGTTTTGAAAAATGAGGCGAAGAATTTGAGAGGTGACGATGCTCGGAGGGCAGAGAGGTCCTTGAGTTTGCGATTGTGTGTGGCGAACGATACTCGAGTCTCGTCTAAAACCCTAGCAATCTTTTGCATCAACCGCTTCTGTTCTTCGTCTTCGGTTGTGTTGAATGACATTGTGGACGTATCAACAGCTTTCTCTCTCTAAAACTCTCTGTGTTTTCTATCTATTCTGGAAACTCTCTGCCTCAGCTTGATGAATCTCATCTGCTCGCTCTTCTGCCCCTGAAATGATTTTGAATTCCGAGCGGGAAGAAGAAGATGGGTTTGTGGGCCCAACGTTCGGGACAAACCCAGCCCGCTTCGAATATGTTATGGGCCCAGGCCTCTTTTAGCCAAAACGTGACCCACTCTTTTTTGGAAAAATTGGCAAGGGGTACATTTTCCGGAACTTATTTGCTTTAAAATCCACAGCTCAAACTTTTGAGTTATTAAATTCTCATTCTCCTAAATATTTGGTGACCAGATGCACATTTCAGTTTTGCATTTTTTTTTATTGTGTAATTACCCTTAACTTGATTCATGCAAGATTTTTGATAGTTTTCTTATTTTTTTTATTTTTTTATTAGATAGGAAGTTTCTTAAATTAAGGATTAATTAATTGTTTAAATTTTAAAATGATTAATTAACTTAATTCGTGCAAGATTTTGCCAGCCAACGCTTTTTGTATTCTCCAATCAATCATTGATGAATTCTATCTTCTAAAATCAGTCACCGAATCAAACATAATTTATGTTCTAATCATTTCTTTTGTTGTTGCATGACAAAGAAGTTTCTTTCTTTATAAACTTTGAACACATTTAGTCGATTATTGTTTCTGCTATCAGTTCTCCACTGTTTCTAAGTTTTCTTCATAATATCTCTATGAACTCAAAATGATATTATCTAGGTTTTCTTCATACTTTTTATGATCTGTGAAAACAAAGTTGCATTTTTTTTGGTTTGATATTTTTAGTTTGTTGAATTATTTAAGTGGTGCTTATTATACTAATGTCATTAGAATTTGCNGTTTTCTTCATAATATCTCTATGAACTCAAAATGATATTATCTAGGTTTTCTTCATAAGTTTTCTGCATATTTTTTGGTTTGATATTTTTAGTTTGTTGAATTATTTAAGTGGTGCTTATTATACTAATGTCATTAGAATTTGTTCATTATGACGGTATGAACACGCAAAACATATCATTATTTTTCCTAAAGCTAGCAATGCACAACGTGTGTTACACGTGAATATATTTGAATAACAACTTTTCATGCGAAATTTAAATGGTATATGTAATTAAATTGAATCATAAATTATGTGTGGAATAATTAATTCTTTTTTTAACTATTGTTAAACTTAATTATTGATCTATTCTATCCCTATTTGAGTATCTAATCTATCATTTGTTTAAATATCTCTCCGACCCATTAGACAATTTTCTATTTTTTTTTACAATGAAATTGTATTGTAAAATTATCATTATTGAGTATTTGCACATATAATTATATTATAAATTACATTTCTTGTCAAAGAGGTTAATTTAAATGCAATACTATTGTTTGTGTTATAATAATATGATATTGTTGCATATCAAAAAAAAACAAACAAGACATATATTTAATTGTTGCATATCAAAAAAAAACAAACAAGACATATATTTAATCGTAGAATCCAATCTGACAACTACACACACACACACACACACATNAGTATTTGCACATATAATTATATTATAAATTACATTTCTTGTCAAAGAGGTTAATTTAAATGCAATACTATTGTCTGTGTTATAATAATATGATATTGTTGCATATCAAAAAAAAAACAAACAAGACATATATTTAATCGTAGAATCCAATCTGCAACTACACACACACACACACACACACACACACATATATATATAATAGAAATATAGAATATAAATTGAACTTTATTTCATCATATAAATATAAACATAGATATAGAAAATGAATATAAGTATACTACTAATAAATGACTGTAAAAGAATTTATAATTCAAATACTATTAATGAAAGAATCCAAAATAACTTAGAAATCAAATAGGTATAAGAAATAATAAGTGGATAAAAGCAATAAAGAATTTAGAAGTCAAATATTGTTAATAAAAGAGTTTAAAATAACTTAAAAGTCAAATTGGTATAAGAAATAAAAATGGGATGAAAGTAATATGTGGATATTATTGATTTTATAATAATAATTAAAGATAAAATAAGAAATCAAAAGTTTTTTTACAGATGCTGACATTTATAAGTAACTAGTTGGTGCCCATGTACGTTATACGTTNAATATAAATTGAACTTTATTTCATCATATAAATATAAACATAGATATAGAAAATGAATATAAGTATACTACTAATAAATGACTGTAAAAGAATTTATAATTCAAATACTATTAATGAAAGAATCCAAAATAACTTAGAAATCAAATAGGTATAAGAAATAATAAGTGGATAAAAGCAATAAAGAATTTAGAAGTCAAATATTGTTAATAAAAGAGTTTAAAATAACTTAAAAGTCAAATTGGTATAAGAAATAAAAATGGGATGAAAGTAATATGTGGATATTATTGAATTTATAATAATAATTAAAGATAAAATAAGAAATCAAAAGTTTTTTTACAGATGCTGACATTTATAAGTAACTAGTTAGTGCCCATGTACGTTATACGTGGACCATTTTGAACTATAATTTTAGTTTTTATTTTCTACTTTTTACCCACATTATCTCTATATTTTTAGTTTTATGTATGCATAAAATAAATATGAAGTTACAAAATAAAAGAGGCAAAATATAAAAGGAAGACATCAGGTAGTTGATTTGATTACTTATTGGTTGTTTGTAATATTTATATTTCAAATACTTTGCTTCTACCATGGTTGTGGGCAATACTTACCAGAATTTTCATTAAGAACATAAAGTTTCTCACTCCAAATTGCCTTCAGATTGAAATTTTTTTAATCTTACAATAAATGTTTGACAATTGAAGACCCAAAAATGGATTAAAACTTAGGAGAAGTGAATAAAAATATAATTTAAGTAGAATTTGCATACAATTGCAAAAATTAATCTCAGACAACAAGATCATGGCAATTCAAATTTCCAAATTAAAATTGAGAAGTAAATAAATAAAAAATTGAATTTAAACAGTAAATAAGACACATTACATTATCTTAAAGTCTTAGATTACGCTCAGATTAGATCATCAAAGCAGTAATTAATAGTAAGATAAATCAAATGAAGCTAAGTATTGATACAAAAAAAGAATTACATAAGCAACAAAGAATTATTTCACTTTGAGTTCATCATTTTAATATCGTTTACAAGTCCTACTTTCATAAGATTCATGATAACTTGTAAAGAATAAAAATAAAAGCAAAAGACATAAATTAAGGGAGCTATGGAAGTTATAGAGAAGAACAAAAGTACCAGCAGTTTTTTATTATTTAAAGATAGAAGATTTTTCTACAGTTTGAAAAGTGGGGGTTTAGAAGGGGAGCATGTTATTTTTATATTATTTTTTTAATTTTCTCCAATGTTGTGAATATGAAAGGTCTTCCTATAAGTAAACTTATGTATTCATTGCACTTGTAATTACAAATATTTATTTTTAGGAAGGGAAGGGGTGTAAGAGTTAATGTGGTAAGTAGGATATAATAGTATTTATATGATTAAGTAAGGGTAGAATAGAAAATCAAAAAAAATTCTCATTAGCTTCCTTTTATTAGTAGTACTAACAATGGATCACGTGCATTGCACGTGAATAATTTTTGTATATAAAATATTAGTAAAAAGTATTATGTATATGTTGTTTATCCAATTTCAGAGGGGTGTTTGAGAGAGAGAAAGGGGAGGAGAGAGAGAAGATAAAAGATTTTTAAACTGGATGGTGAGAGAGAGAAGTTAAAAGGTTTTTCAATTGATTTGTATGGTGGTCCAAGGATTTTTGTCCCGTTTTCTGAGAGAGAGAACTTGTTCAAAAATAAGGTTAAACAAAAGAAGATAAAGAGACATAAATGATATCGTTGTCTACTTAGTTTCCGACAAATAATCATTTAGTTGAGGATAAGAAAATGTGGGAAAGTATATTACTATGTTATAAATGATGTTATAAATCATAGTCACTACATAATGGAAGAGTCATGACCCTTTGTTTACCTAATTTTTTTAATAATAATTAATATCAATGTACATATTATACTGATTTTTTTATCTGATCTGTACATATAACTGTAATTTATAGTTATCTTATTATACCGTTCTTTATTGTAATCTATTATTTTTGGTCCCTAAAATATACAATTATTGTTTAAATGATCCTTAATCAGACGATTCATTTAGTTTTTTAACAGAAGTAACCATGTGTCATTCCGTCAGACAATATCACATAATCAACACATAATCACTTATGTCAAAAACTTAACAGACTGTCTTTGTATGGATCATTTAAATATTAACTAAACATTTTATGGACCAAATTGATACAATGAAAACCAAACTAACAAAATATATATATTCAAGGACTAAAAATACTATTAACTCTAAATTATAATATATTACTCTATAATATATATTTTAAAAAAATTTAAAATTTTAAAATTCAAGTTTTACTTTAAAATAAACTATAATTTTTTTTATATAAACTCTTAATAAAACATGAAAAAGTTACAGTGATTGAAGAATTATGTTTACTTAACATAAATTATTTTTAAAAAATACATAAAAGATTATTTTTTATCTTAAAAATAAAATGGTTAAAATTTTAGAAAAAAAATACATATATGTAAGTATAATGTTATCTTTATATTTAAAATGAATAATATTATATTGATAAAGTTTTTAAAGATTTTTTGAACGTTTTATTGAATATTAGAGTGATACATATATTTTTTAAAGGTAACAGAGCCAATTAAAAAGTTTCATAGATATTGATATTTATACATAGTAAATAAATAATTAAAAGAGATGTTAGAGACAATTTATAGATTTAAATACTTAAATATATGATGGTAATTTAGATATTCAATTATGGAAAGATAGTGTGGTATTTAAAATTCTTTATAAGAGTAAAATAATGAATCAAAAAATTTTTATGCTAAGGCAAAAGTTTC